GTGTTCAGTGCAATACGTTTAACAAATGTTCAGTGCAATACGTTTAACAAGTGTTCAGTGCAATACGTTTAACAAGTGTTCAATGCAATACGTTTAACAAGTGCTCAGTGCAATACGTTTAACAAGTGTTCAATTCAATACGTTTAACAAGTGCTCAGTGCAATACGTTTAACAAGTGTTCAATTCAATACGTTTAACAAGCTTTCAGTGCAGTGCGTTTAACAGGTGTTCATTGCAAACGCATACGGCAAGAGAATGTCACCTCCTTGAATTGTAAGCAGGCAGCAGGCCTGCTGCCTGCTTACAATCACCTACCAAATTGGCAATAACCTTTCGTAATTTACGACGTTTCCCTGGTATCACGAATAAATTTTTTTTTAAAAAACCCTCAATTTTCTAAATTGGGGCTGGTGTTACCCGCAGTGTATGTGACCTTTGTTACAGCAGTGGGGTAGTTGGGGTTACAGGGGTGTATGTGAAACCCTTGTTACAGCGTGTGTTTTTTTTGGGGTTACAGCAGTGTATTGGGGGCCGTTGTTTCAGACGTTGGGGTTTTTGGCCGTTTTCTACAGCAGTGTGTAGTTGGGGTTTCCGCAGTTATGTGACCCCCCCCTTTTCGCGTGTTTTTTGTGTGACCGTTGTTAAAGAAGTATGTGTTTACCCTTTTTACGAAGTATGGGTGCCGTTGTTTTCGAAGTGTGTGGGCTGGGTTTACAGGCAGGGTTTGTGGGGTGGGGTTACAAGGGAATTTTTTTGTTTTTGGGCTGGGGTTTTCCCGCCGTGTGTGTGGCGGGGGTTACAGCAGTTTGTGTGGCTGGGGTTACAGCAATGTGTGTGTGGCTGGGGTTACAGCAATGTGTGTGACTGGGGTTACAGCAGTGTGTGTGGCTGGGGTTACAGCAGTTTGTGTGGCTGGGGTTACAGCAGTGTGTGTGGCTGGGGTTACAGCAATGTGTGTGACTGGGGTTACAGCAGTTTGTGTGGCTGGGGTTACAGCAGTTTGTGTGGCTGGGGTTACAGCAGTGTGTGTGGCTGGGGTTACAGCAGTGTGTGTGGCTGGGGTTACAGCAGTGTGTGTGGCTGGGGTTACAGCAGTGTGTGTGACTGGGGTTACAGCAGTGTGTGTGGACTGGGGTTACAGCAGTGTGTGTGGCTGGGGTTACAGCAGGGGGTTGTGGCTGGGGTTACAGCAGTGTGTGTGGCTGGGGTTACAGCAGTGTTTTGTGGCTGGGGTTACAGCAGTGTGTGGGCTGGGTTACAGCAGTGTGTGTGGCTGGGGTTACAGCAGTGTGTGTGGCTGGGGTTACAGCAGTGTGTGTGGCTGGGGTTACAGCAGTGTGTGTGGCTGGGGTTACAGCAGTGTGTGTGGCTGGGGTTACAACAGTGTGTGTGGCTGGTGTTACAGTAGTGTGTGTGGCTGGGGTTACAGCAGTGTGTAGCTGGGGTTACAGCAGTGTGTGTGTGGCTGGGGTTACAACAGTGTGTGTGGCGGGTTTTTTACAGTAGTGGGGTGGGGACTGGGGTTACAACAGTGTGTGTGGCTGGGGTTACAACAGTGTGTGTGGCTGGGGTTACAGCAGTGTGTGTGGCTGGGGTTACAACAGTGTGTAGCATGTGATGTAGTTTAGCTGGGCTTGTGAGGTCTCTGGGGAGACCTAATTTAACCAATTATATGGTCACCTTGCCTTGGCAAATGTCTGTCAGAGACACGCCTTTTTCGGTTTATGTATCAGCGCCTTTGTTCGTCACTGGCGTCAGATCCAGGCGTCAGGTCGTACACGTGGTTGTGGAGGGTGCTTGGACCACCATATAAGCCCAAGGAACAGCTGAGCAGTGAGATTCGTGCGGAGCTCTGGCCTGGGTGCAGAGCTCTGAGCAGAGAGACTTCGATAGGAGCTGTTGCTGGGGTGCAGGGCTCGGGAGAAGACTGCTGAAGTCTCTGGAGGAGACTGTTGGAGGCAATGGGCAGAGTACTGGCTTGGCGCAGTAGTCGTGCTGTGTAGGTCTTGGGACCTGTGGCTTAGTTCCTGTGATGAACTGTCCTCTGAACCATATTGTAAGTTATATTCATTTTCGTCAAGTTGATTGTATTCCCTGTCTCACTGCTTATGTGAACCATCCCATTTATCTACACCACAATAATGTTCTCCTGTTCCAAAATATATTATTGTACAAGGGTTTAATAATAAACTGTGTTTGAGTAGAATAGTAATATTCACTGTCCCCGTTATTTATTCTTTTATCTTTTATTTCAAGTAGTGAGAGGGTGAGTAGCGTGGTGAGTAGAGTAATGAGAGGTAAAGGTGGTCACCAGTGACCTCACATTACCTACCTCCGCTAATCATCTCTACCGACTCACCTCTCCTGCCTATCCCCTACAAACTCCCTCCGTTTACTCACATATTCACCAATTAAACCCTTATTTTCCAATCCCCCCCCCACATGACAAGCTGGGGTTACAGCAGAGTGTGGCTGGGGTTATAGCAGTATGTGTGTGTGGCCGTTGTTACAGCAGTGTGTGGCTGGGGTTATAGCAGTGTGTGTGTGTGGCCGTTGTTACAGCAGTGTGTGGCTGGGGTTATAGCAGTTGTGTGGTGGCCGTTGTTCAGCAGTGTGTGGGTGGGGTTTACAGTGTGTGTGTTTGGGCCTTTTGGGGGTTTCACAGTGTGTGGCTGGGGTTTACAGGGGGGTTGGCCCTGTTAACTTTTGGGTTACAGGGTGTGTGTGGCCGTTGTTACAGCAGTTGTCGGGGTTATAGCAGTGGTGGGCCGGGTTACAGAGTTGTGGGTGGGGTTAAGCAGTGTGTGGTGGGGTTGCAGAGGGGTGTGGGGTTTTAGGATTGCGTGTTGCCGGTTGTTACAGCATTGTGGCTGGGTTAAGCAGTGTGTGTGGTTTGGGGTTACAGCAGTTGTAGCTGGGTTACAGCAGTGTGTGGGCCTTGTTACAGGGAGTGTTAGCTGGGGTTACAGAGTGTGTGGCTGGGTTACAGCAAGTGGGGTGCTGGGGTTACAGTACTGGTTACAGGGTACAGAATGTGTGGCTGGGTTACAGCAGTATGTACTGGGGTTTTCAGCAGTGGTGGCTGGGGTTAAGGAGTTTGTGCTGGGGTTACAGCATGTGTGGCTGGGGTTTTCAGAGTGTGTTCTGGATTACAGCAGTGTTGGGTGGGGTTACAGCAGTGTGTGGCTGGGTTACAGCAGTGTGGCTGGGGTTACAGCAGTATTAGCTGGGGTTACAGCAGTGTGGTGGCTGGGTTACAGCAGTGTTAAGGCTGGGTTACAACAGTTGTGCTGGGGTTACAGCAGGGGTGGCTGGGGTTACAGCAGTGTGTGCTTTGGGGTTACAGATGTGACTGGGGTTAAAGAAGTGTGTGGCTGGGGTTACAGCAGTTGTTGGGTTACAGCAGTGTGTGGCTGGGGGTTTCAGCAGTTGTAGCTGGGTTACGCAGTGTGTGGCTGGGGTTACAGCAGTGTGTGGCTGGGGTTACAGCAGTGTGTGGCTGGGGTTACAGCAGTGTGTTGCTGGGGTTACAGCAGTGTGTGGCTGGGGTTACAGCAGTGTGTAGCTGGGGTTACAGCAGTATGTAGCTGGGGTTACTGCAGTGTGTGGCTGGGGTTACAGCAGTGTGTGGCTGGGGTTACAGCAGTATGTAGCTGGGGTTACAGCAGTGTGTGGCTGGGGTTACAGCAGTGTGCAGCTGGGGTTACAGCAGTGTGTGGCTGGGGTTACAGCAGTGTGCGGCTGGGGTTACAGCAGTGTGTGGCTGGGGTTACAGCAGTTGTGGCTGGGGTTACAGCAGTGTGTAGCTGGGGTTACAGCAGTGTGTGACTGGGGTTACAGCTGTGTGTAGCTGGGGTTACAGCAGTGTGTAGCTGGGGTTACAGCAGTGTGTAGCTGGGGTTACAGCAGTGTGTTATATGAGAGTTCATAACGGCGATGACACAATATTCAGAGATAAACGAGGCACCATACACTCCTCGTCACCTATCATGTCTGATGTACGTGACGGACATGATGGAAGGGAGGGAGGGACGGGATGGAGGGGGATGGAGTGAGAGGATCGAGTAAAGGGAGAGAGTTTATTGGTTAGTGGGAAAGGAGGAGGAAAGAAAGGTATCTTAATAGAAGGGTAAGATGTGAGAGAGGGTGTATAGGGTGAGGGAGAGAGTATAAGGGAGAGAGAATGGACAGGAGGGAGTGAGAGGGTAATGCAATGAGGGTATACTGCACTGGAGAGTGTTTTGGGAGTGAGGGGAACATGAGGGGACGTAACCGAGAAGGAAGACTCAGAAGAAATATCTGAAAGAGGGGAGACTCCGAGGAAACGACAATCCAAAATCTTTTAATTATTTTCCTATCTTAAGTATCCTATATTTACAATTGTTTGTCTGTTGTTTCAAATTGCCATTCTCCTAAAAAATTTCCAGGCCTAAATATATTGCCAGCTATGTGGTATATTGCCACCTGTATGGTATATTCCCAGTTATGTGGGATATTCCCATTAATGTAGAAATATTCCCAGCTGTGTGGGAAACTTCGAAGGTGAACTAACATTAAAAATATTTCACCATGTAATTACAGTCAAAAAAAAAATCACAAAATATTCTCAAAATTTCTGACGAGACAGTAAAAAAGACACAAAATGGTTGAATTCGACACTCAAGTTACCACAGCAGCTGCAATGACTCAGTGATGTAAGTTCCACAAAAAGTAATGATTGTATATACCGAGCTGATAATAAATTACCAGTATTTAAGTTAGGTTTAAATAATAATTAACATGCATCCAGATCAAGGTTTATAATCAACAGTCATGCATTACATTCAAGGAGGTTCCTTGATGACAGTGAAGAACCCTACGCCCAGATTTGATCATCTCCCAATGCACAGGAGCTGTATGATCCCACACGGGTTACACAACGTCATGCGTAAGTAAAAAGGCATGCACAGGGTTAGAGCGGTGCTCGCCTGAGCACCGGTACATTGCGGGGGATTTCTTACCTGAGCGCCTTCGTCGAGGGGGTGGGGGTCGCTGCACGCCCATCACTACACCAGCAGCCTCCCCGGCTTCGTCCAGCAGTCCCAGCGCACAGCTCATGGCTGCTCTGCGGGTGTCTTTCAGGACCTCTTCGGGAACACTCCAGTTCTTTGGAAGCTCTTCAGAAGACCTCCAAAAGCTTTGCAGCTCCACAGGTGGACTCCCAAAGTTCCCCGAGAACTCTTTAGCTGTTCAGATGCTCCCTGAAGATTTCTGGGAATCGGCAGCTCTTCGAGCGCTCTCCAGAAGACTTCCAGGAGCCCTTCAGCTCTCCAGAAAGCTTCTGGGAGCTCTCGTGCTCCTTAGATCTGTTTCAAAAGACCTTTAAGAGCCATGCAGGACTTCAGGAGTACCTGTTGACAGTGGTTTGCTTAAACACTGCCTGATTCGCGCCTAATCTTATCAGTTGCGCTGCGCTGCACGCGACATCCTATGTTGAGGTACTCAGGTCTTGCAGTGTCCAAGATCCAGGTCACATACGTCACACCAGACGCTTGTGATACGCTGCCCTCCCGTCCTCCTCCTCCTCCTCCTCCTCCCAGGGCACGGCTTAGAGGAGAACTAGAGTCCCGAGGTAGTTCTTCTAGGACACATCTCTATGATTCCCAGCATCACAAACACCCACAATCCTACACCAACACACTTCTACCCCCCTCCCCCCAAAAAAAAGAGTTCAAGGTCTCCACCAGCACTGCTTTCCGCCAATACTGCTCTGTATCAACACTGTCCTTCTCCAACACAGCCCTCCACCAACACTAGTTTCCACCACTGCTTTACGGTACTAAAGATGTCATCAGTCTTCAAGAAGCGTCCTCCCACAAAGTACTATTCTCGGGGTAAGGTTATCCACCCAGTATTTTCCTTTTTACATTTCTCAAGCTTCTCTAATAACGGCTGAAAGTCTCACACTTATTTATCTCTTCAGCTTCTGGGTAATTAATACTACGTAATTCATTGTTAAGTCCTCTCTTGAGCTAAATGTTTTCATCTGTTAGAAGACGAATAAATATGAAATATAATACAATTTACAATTTAATGTAAATAATAAATTTTTTTTAATATATATTTAAAATATATTATATATAAATATATATAATATATATATATAAATATATATATAATTTAATATATATATAAATATATAATATAAAATATAATTAAAATTTAAGTTTACAATTTTTTAATATTTATAAACGATTTTTAAAAAAATAAAAATATTTAAATTATTATATAAAATTTATAAAAATTTATAATCGTGGGAAAAAATCAGTAAAAAATTTTGGGGATTGGTAAAGGGGAAAAAAAAAAAAGGAAAAGGGCCAAGGGGAAAAAAGAGGAACCAAGGCAAGACAGAAAAAAGGAAAAAAACAAAGGGAAAAAAAGGAAAAAAAAACAAAGAGAGACACAAGAAGGAAAAAGAGGGGGAAAAAGGGGGGGAAGCCCATGAGACAAAAGAGGCAACCAAAGGGGCAAAGGAACCACAAAGGAAAGGAAGGGAAAAAAGGGAACAACAAGAAGAAGGAGGGGAAAATGGGAAAAAACAAAGAAGGAAACGGAATATAAGCGACATATTCAAAGTCTAACAAAGATTTTTGGGGGGGGAAGATTTTAAAAATTTAAAAGCAATAAAAGTGCAAATATGTGGTAAAAGAGTTCCCAAAAAAAAAAAAAGGAATGTGAAGGAAAGGGGGGGGATAAAAAGGAAGGGAGCCAAAAAATTTTTACCATAAAAGGGGAAAAAAAATTTAAAAAAGGGTTAGGAATGCCAAAAAAGGAGAAGGAAAGAAGGGGGAGGTGAGAAAAGAAAAAGAAAAATTTTGGGGGGGAGTTAAAATTAAAAAAGGTAGGGATTTAGGTTTGAGATTTAAAAAAAGTAGGAAGGTTTGATGAGGGAGAGGGGGAAAGGGTAGAGGGGGAATATTTGAGGAAGGGAAAAAAGAAGGAAAGAGGAAATTTATGGATGGGGGGAGGAAATTGGAGGGAAGAAAGAAAGAGGGTGGGGGGGGTAGTGAGGGTTAGGGAGAAGAAGGGGTAAAGATAAAAAGTGGGATCAAGAAGAAATTAAAGGGTGGATAAAGGGATGTTTCTTTTTATTTTTGGAAAAATTCCTAATTCGGGAGCAAGAAGTTCCCCTTTTATTAAAAAGGGAAAAACGTAAAATTAGGTAACTTTCATATACCGGAGTGACGTTGGGGATAAGAGAAAGAGGTTTAAACAGAATGGTTTTTAAAACCCGGTTTGGGGTTTGGGTGTAACCGGTACAAAATGGGGGGTTTGACCAGATGGAAAATTTAAATTTAAACATTTTTTTGAAAGGCTTAAAAGAGGGAAAAGGGGGGGGGGGGCCCTTATAAAATGTAGTTCCTTTTAAGATTATGGGAAAATGAATTAAAAATTTTTGAAAACCCCCCCTTCCCAAATCTAACAAAGTATTAATTTTACAGTGTTTAAATTTTAAATTATTTTTTTTTTTTTTAGGAAAAAAGGGAAAGGGGGGGGAGAGGGGGGGAAAAAGGGGGGGAAAAAAAAGGGGGAAAAAAGAAAAGGGGGGGGGGGAGAAATAAAGCAGGGGAAAAAAAAAATTAAAAAAAAAAAGGGAGGGATGTGAAAAGGAAAAAAAAGAAGAAAATAAGGGTTAAAGGTGTCAAAATAAAAAAAAAAGTAATGGGGGGAGGTACGTGAGGCATTACGTAAAATGAAAGGGGTAAAGCAGCGGGAACGATGGGATCATGACAGAAATGTTAAAAGCGGGGGGGATATAGTTTTGGGAGTGGTTGGTACTTTTGTTTAATAAATGTATGAAAGGGGGGAAGGTACCTAGGGATTGGCAGAGAGCATGTATAGTCCCTTTATTAAAGGGAAAGGGACAAAAGAGACGTAAAAATTATAGGGGAATAACTTACTGATATACCAGGAAAAGTGTACGGTAGGTTATAATTGAAAGAATTTTAGAGGTAAGACAGAATGGTAGGATTGCGGATGAGCAAGGGGGTTTTTAAAGAGTGGGTGGGGGATGTGTAGATCAGTGTTTACATTGAAGCATATATGTGAACAGTATTTAGATAAAGATAGGGAAGTTTTTTATTGCATTTATGGATTTAGAAAAGGCATATAAATAGAGTGGATAGAGGAGCAATGTGGCAGATGTTGCAAGTATATGGAATAGTTGGTAAGTTATTAAATGCTGTAAGAGTTTTTATGAGATAGTGAGGCTCAGGTTAGGTGTGTAGAAGAGAGGGAGACTACTTCCCGTAAAAGTAGGTCTTAGACAGGGATGTGTAATGTCACCATGGTTGTTTAATATATTTATAGATGGGGTTGTAAAGGAAGTAAAATGCTAGGGTGTTTGGGAGAGGGGTGGGATTAAATTATGGGGAATCAAATTCAAAATGGGAATTGACACAGTTACTTTTTGCTGATGATACTGTGCTTATGGGAGATTCTAAGAAAAATTGCAAAGGTTAGTGGATGAGTTTGGGAATGTGTGTAAAGGTAGAAAGTTGAAAGTGAACATAGAAAAGAGTAAGGTGATGAGGGTGTCAAATGATTTAGATAAAGAAAAATTGGATATCAAATTGGGGAGGAGGAGTATGGAAGAAGTGAATGTTTTCAGATACTTGGAGTTGACATGTCGGCGGATGGATTATGAAGGATGTGGTTAATCATAGAATTGATAGGGAAAAAAGGTGAGTGGTGCGTTGAGGTATATGTGGAGTCAAAAAACGTTATCTATGGAGGCAAAGAAGGGAATGTATGAAAGTATAGTAGTACCAACACTCTTATATGGGTGTGAAGCTTGGGTGGTAAATGCAGCAGCGAGGAGACGGTTGGAGCAGCGGAGATGTCCTGTTTAAGGGCAATGTGTGGTGTAAATATATGCAGAAAATTCGGAGTGTGGAAATTAGGAGAAGGTTGGAGTTAAAAAAAAGTATTAGTCAGAGGGCAGAAGAGGGGTTGTTGAGGTGGTTTGGTCATTTAGAGAGAATGGATCACAGTAGAATGACATGAAAAGCATATAAATCTATAGGGGAAGGAAGGCGGGGTGGGTCGTCCTCGAAAGGGTTGGAGAGAGGGGGTAAAGAGGTTTTTGTGGGTAAGGGCTTGGACTTCCAGCAAGCGTGCGTGAGCGTGTTAGATAGAGTGAATGGAGACGAATGGTACTTGGGACCTGACGATCTGTTGGAGTGTGAGCAGGGTAATATTTAGTGAAGGGATTCAGGGAAACCGGTTATTTTCATATAGTCGGACTTGATCCTGGAAATGGGAAGTACAATGCCTGCACTTAAAGGAGGGGTTTGGGATATTGGCAGTTTGGAGGGATATGTTGTGTATCTTTATATGTTTATGCTTCTAGACTGTTGTATTCTGAGCACCCTCTGCAAAAACAGTGATAATGTGCGAGTGTGGTGAAAGTGTTGAATGATGATGAAAGTATTTTCTTTTTGGGGATTTTCTTTCTTTTTTGGGTCACCCTGCCTCGGTGGGAGACGGCCGACTTGTTGAAAAAAAAAAAAAAAAAAAAAAAAAAAAATATATATATTATATATATATATATAATATATATATATATAATATATATAATATATATATATATATATATATATATATATTATATATATATACTATATATATATATTATATAACACACACAATACGTGAAGAAACGTCGAGTACAAACAGAACTATTATCATTGGAGGGACCTTTTTAAGGGTACACAAACGTCAGAAACCACAACGAGGGAACACAAACGACAGGAACCACAACGAGGGAACACAAACGACAGAAACCACAACGAGGGAACACAAACGAAAGGAACCACAACGAGGGAACACAAACGACAGAAACCACAACGAGGGAACACAAACGACAGGAACCACAACGAGGGAACACAAACGACAGGAACCACAACGAGGGAACACAAACGACAGGAACCACAACGAGGGAACACAAACGACAGGAACCACAACGAGGGAACACAAACGACAGGAACCACAACGAGGGAACACAAACGACAGAACCACAACGAGGGAACACAAGCGACAGAAACCACAACGAGGAGACACAAACGACAGAAACCACAACGAGGGAACACAAACGACAGAAACCACAACGAGGGAACACAAACGACAGAACCACAACGAGGGAACACAAACGACACGAACCACAACGAGGGAACACAAACGACAGGAACCACAACGAGGGAACACAAACGACAGGAACCACAACGAGGGAACACAAACGACAGAAACCACAACGAGGAACACAAACGACAGAAACCACAACGAGGGAGACACAAACGACAGGAACCACAACGAGGGAACACAAACGACAGGAACCACAACGAGGGAACACAAACGACAGGAACCACAAGGAGGAGACACAGACGACAGAAACCACAAGGAGGAGACACAGACGACAGAAACCACAACGAGGAGACACAGACGACAGAAACCACAACGAGGGAACACAAACGACAGGAACCACAACGAAAAAGTCGAACACACAATCTCATTCCAAGATCTCAACAAGCACATTTTCTCAGGGCAGTAAAGATTCTTCAACAAAATGTTAAGATAAGGGCCCCAAGAGATGAAGCTCAAAGTTCGAAAACTGAGTCAGGTAATTAGAGCCTCTCATAAGAAAACAAAAACGACGATATCGCTGACGGCAGTTTCCTGAAGGCACCAGTGCCACCAAAACAAATTTATTACTCCATATGAAAAACAATTATAAGTCCAGTTACAAGGTTACTGCCAGGGAGGGAGGAAGGGAGAGAGGAAGGGAGGGGGTGAGGCAAGAAGGGAGTAGAAGGTGGGAGGGAGTAGAGGGTAGAAAAGGTATAGGGGATTATAGGATAGAAATGAAAGCAGGAAGGAGATATGGAAGGTAGGAGCTGAGGGAGAGAGGCAACAAGGGTGAGAGGGAGGGAAGTGTAGAAAGGAGAGAGGAAAAGTAGCAAGGAGGGAGTTTAAGATGGAAGATGCGTA